ACCCATTTCTTGGTTTCTCAAGAAGCCACTGGGACCAAAAATATTTTTGGTCGCAGTGGTACAGCCTACTCCACGCTGACGAGCGCCAACAGCGCGAAACGTGTTCGTGGATGGCTTTTTTTTTGATTTATCAAGAAATTGGGTTGGCCAAATATCAAGGAACAGGCTAAATCAATGAATAGTTGATTTATGTTCCACCAGATGGCGCTCTGCCTTCTGAAAAGCACATGTGCTCCTGGTCAGGATATGCCTTTTTTATTTTTTAATAGATAAAAATGATACTTCTCCCATCAAAGTAAACTATTCGTCGAATTCTGAGGTCTCGCCAATCTAGAAGAATCTGATCATTTTTATATATATTTAGCCATATAATTATCTCATACACTTTACCTCTAAATTCTAGGCCAATTGGGAGAATTTTTGAATTCTTCGTCAAGCTTATTATTTCTTAAAAACCCTGAACTGACGATTGACATAGCTAAAAATCATAGTCTCAGAGTGGGCTTCAAATATATCAAAGCTGGGGTTGTGATCTGGTTTCTGACTCGATTCTGCTTGATTGCAGATAAGGTCAAAAGGTGGAGCAAAATTTTGACGGAAGATGTTTATTTTTTTTATAAATAAAATAATTATTATGAAAAATAAACGTGTGTGTACTCTAAAATATAGACAACAAAAATAAATAAAGGAATTTACTTAAAATGTCAAAAGGATTTAATCAATGATATATGAAAAACAACCCAGTGTCTTGGACAACTTTGTTTACTATTGGTATTTTAAAGCAATTTTCGCTATCGATGTAGCTATCTTTTGGCATATTTAAAGAAAATATTTGGATTATTTAATGGATTAGTATATTATTACATTAGAATATTTTTAAAAGTCTAACAAAATGAAGCAAATGAAATTAGTTGCGCATCAACCAAATTATAGTGGTAAATTTGATTTTTTTTTCTCGTATCATTTTGGAACTTTATCCCTCTTTTTCCCCCTCCCCCAAATGCATAAGTAGAACTAGCGTTATTGTAATGTTTTTGTAATAAATATATAAAGCTCTAATATATATTTTTTGATATTCGATTGTTTTAATACATATTTTCAATTTGATGACAAAAGTGCTAATTAATGTATCACACTTGAATGATATCACTTTAGTCTGCTATAAATATTTTTAAAAAGATCATAGATAATATAATTTTATTCAATCTGATTAAAAACCTGAGAATTGGGATGATTTAACTAATAATAGTAGATTTTTATAGTATGAATATTATAGTTTTGTTTTAGCAGAAGATTCTACTGCATTTACAAATATCGTACAATTATAAAATAGAATTGTATTTATTATATAAAATTTCATATTTTTGGATAGAAAATGGTTAGAAATAAAGGCAAATGTCAAAATATTATTAATAATTTAAAATTCCATATCAATAAATCATGGTATATAATACTTTGTGGCCACTCCTCATTATTTAGAGTTTGTGAGCCAATCAGAAATGAGTTTTTTTTTTTCTATTTTGAAGAAGAAAGAAAAGAGATATAAGTTGGAGATAGAGATAAACATGGCAAGACATCTGTCTACCTCCCATATTAGTATAAACAAACGCCTAATTTTCAACTACGCCTTTGCCAGTTCCAAGCCCGGATAAAAAAGGAGGAGCAGTAACAAGCTCACTAAAAAACCTGGGCTCAGCTTGCCCAGCTGATAGTACCGTGTAAGGGCTCCTAATCCAGGGATACAGGATGAGCAACGTTTGTACTCCATGTTAGGAGCAGCTGTACCTGGCGTATGCTCCTCATGTCAGAGGCGGCCATTTCTTTCGGAGCTAAGTCAGTGGTGGCCTGCCACTGAGTAGTGCTCACAGTCTTAATGACAAAGGCAGATACATTCTACTTCACTCAATCATGATGAAGATAAGGAAGAAGAAGATGGTATATAATACTTTGTGTCCACTCCTCATTATGGTGTGTGAGCCAATCAGAAATGAGTTTTTTCATATTGTGGGGAAGGAGGAAAAGGGATACAAGTTGGAGATAAACATGGCAAGACATCTTCCCACCTCCCAATATTAGAATAAACAAACACCTAATTTTCGACTCCGCCTTTGCTGATCCCAAACCCGAATGAAAAAGGAGGAGGGGGAGCAGTAATAAGCTCACTAAAAGGCCTGGCTGATAGTACCCCGTGAGGGCTCCTGATCCAGGGATACAGTATGTCTTTACTCCATGTTACGGGTGGCTCTACATGGCGTCTGTTCCTCATATCAGAGGCGGCCATTTCTTTTGGAGCTAAGTCAGTGGCCTGCTACTGAATATTGCTCCCAGTCTTAATGACAAAGGCAGATGCATTCTACTTCACCCAGTCATGATAGTTGTCAAATCTCCCTAATTTCCAATCAGTGACCTAAACAATGAAGTTGACTGTTTTACCACAGTCCAACTGATGAATGAACACCTGGCATGAATCATCAACTACAATCTAACCTTGTTAATTTGACCAATGATAATTCAGCATGATAATTTGACCCTTTTTACATGTCTCGGCCTACAGCCTATCAAATAATCATTATTAATTCATCACCATTAATTATTTGACTACTTCTTTAATCAAATTTCAACAACAGTAGATACAAGTAACCAACCTCTGTGTAAAAGATAACACCTAGTTACAGATCTAAAGTGTTCTTTAGGGAGAGGTGTCCTTTTACTGGATAGTTGCTAATTAGTAAAAATGGTAATTTTAGCAATGAAAACTTACCTTTGTAGAGAGCTGTCCTCTCATGGAGGTTTTTATATTGTATAGGTGATTAAAACTGTCCTTTGTAGAGAGCTGTCCTCTCATGGAGGTTTTTATATTGTATAGGTGATTAAAACTGTCCTTTGTAGAGAGCTGTCCTCTCATGGAGGTTTTTATATTGTATAGGTGATTAAAACTGTCCTTTGTAGAGAGCTGTCCTCTCATGGAGGTTTTTATATTGTATAGGTGATTAAAACTGTCCTTTGTAGAGAGCTGTCCTCTCATGGAGGTTTTTATATTGTATAGGTGATTAAAACTGTCCTTTGTAGAGAGGTATTCCCTATCGGGAGTGTCCTCTCATGGAGGTTGTTCTACTGTATTGGTGATGAAAACTGTCCTTAGTAGAGAGATGTCCTCTAGCGGCAGTGTCCTCTCATGGAGGTTGTTCTACTGTATTGGTGATGGAAACTGTCCTTTGTAGAGAGGTGTCCTCAAGAGGGAGTGTCCTCTCATGGAGGTTGTTCTACCGTATTGGTGATGGAAACTGTTCTTTGTAGAGAGGTGTCCTCTAGCGGGAGTGTCCTCTTATGGAGGTTGTTCTACTGTATTGGTGATAAAAACTCTCCTTTGTAGAGAGGTGTCCTCTATTGGGAGTGTCCTCTCATGGAGGTTGTTGTACTGTATTGGTGATGGAAACTGTCCTTTGTAGAGAGGTATCCTCTAGAGGGAGTGTTCTTTCATGGAGGTTGTTCTACTGTATTGGTGATGGAAACTGTCCTTTGTAGAGAGATGTCCTCTAGAGGGAGTGTCCTCTCATGGAGGTTGTTCTACTGTATTGGTGATGGAAACTGTCCTTTGTAGAGAGGTGTCCTCAAGAGGGAGTGTCCTCTCATGGAGGTTGTTCTACCGTATTGGTGATGGAAACTGTTCTTTGTAGAGAGGTGTCCTCTAGCGGGAGTGTCCTCTTATGGAGGTTGTTCTACTGTATTGGTGATAAAAACTCTCCTTTGTAGAGAGGTGTCCTCTATTGGGAGTGTCCTCTCATGGAGGTTGTTGTACTGTATTGGTGATGGAAACTGTCCTTTGTAGAGAGGTATCCTCTAGAGGGAGTGTTCTTTCATGGAGGTTGTTCTACTGTATTGGTGATGGAAACTGTCCTTTGTAGAGAGGTATCCTCTAGTGGGAATGTCCTCTCACGGAGGTTGTTCTACTGTATTTCACCTGATAGAGGGTAAAGAAGACCCCATTAAATTGAAGGATTCACTACACTATCCTCTCACTGCCAATTTGCACGTTGTGTCCCCAGGAGAGTCCCTGCTGATCAGTCAGCGGGAGTTCCCAGACCTGAAGATTGGGGACATCATCGAGATCTGTCCTGAAGATGAACTGCGGTAAGTATTTTGGATCGATCCTGATTGATTTGCATAGCCTAGCATGAACTGAGCAGTGTATGTAAATATTGTGTGGAAATTTTTCCAAATAAATCATTTTATTCTCAATAAACAGCCTCTTAATCCCTCTTTTAATCCTGATGTCTTGTGACCTTTGTGCTTTACTTATATGGAAATAACGATTATTATTATTAATTATTATCATGACTTACATACATAAACAACAGAGATAATGGATTATAGATTATAAACACAAGGTAATAAGACCAAATCCAGATAAATAAATAGTGTGTGACGTTTTGGTAACAACTTTGTTACCATCTTCAGACAAAGGTACTGAATGTAGACTTCTTCATTTTGTGAACTTGAATATTTAAAAAAAAATTCAAGAACAACTATCTTCTTTTTTTTTATCTCCACTCAATCATATTAGGGTATCAAGCTTGTAGAGTAGCGGGAGGGTGTAAACAGGTAACACAGGACGTCGGGAGTTTAACTCCTGGTAGGGCCACCCTGTACCCGGCTAATGTAGAAAGGTATCAATTGGTAGCGTCTGTTCTCCATAGGAGCGGCTACAAAGAGCGTCTGTACTCCATGTCAGGAGACCAAAAGAAACAAAGTCACACTGAGTGGTACTTCCAGGTCTTCAGACCAACAACACCCCTCTTTCCTACTCCATGATGTCTCTCCTTCTCCATGATGTCTCTCCTTCTCCATGATGATGAAGCTTGTAGAGCTTGTTGATGGTGTCTACTTGGGATGAGTCTTCTTCTTCTTCTTCTTTCTTATCTCCACACTGGATGAATAGAATTCGTCTGCCTTTGTCATTAAGACTGGGAGCACTACTCAGTGGCAGGCCGAGAAAAAAGTAGCCCATGGGGGGATCGAACCCATGATCTTCACGTTATTAGCAGGACGCTCTAACCAACTGAGCTAATGGGCCTTCTCGGGATGAGTAAAGCTCATCAATGGATGAGTCAATACAATCAATAATGAGTTTTGGAGTTGCAGGTTGAGAAAAGAACAACTATAAATTTTAACACCTAACTATAAATGAAATTTTTTTTTTAATTCCCAACCATTTTTCAATATAACCTACTACAGTAAAACCCCTCTATAGTGAACCCCAATGGGACAGAGCTTTTGGTTCACTATAGCCACGGTTCACTATAGCCACGGTTTGGCTATTTTTTTTTACTTTTCAAAATTTTTAGACCATATAATTAAAGGACAGCTATACACACAAGAAGAGGCTTCCTCTTAATAGTGGTCACTTTGTTTTAATTCCCTTAATTGACCAATTTCCTTACATTAATACTGAATAATAATAGAAATCATTAGATGATGGTTCTTCTTATCATTAACATACATGTACCTCTATGTCTAATTTAAAAATCAAGACAAATCCTAGGCAAAGTTTTATTAAATACGAGTGAAAGTTTGCCTAACGAATATTATATATTATGAAGTATAATAAACAATGTTAAAGATTAATTTTAATTATTAATCAAGATTGTGTGTGAATATGTGAGAAAGATGTAATATCGTTGTTGTTTTCTTGGCCGACTGTTTTACATATGGTGTTATCTTAAAATTGCTTGTTTTGAATATTTTTTTAGATTGAGATTATTAGCTAGTATGTAAAAAAATTAACTCTGTTGAATTTTTTTTTGTATTTATATATAAATAAAATTAACTCTGTTGATTTTTTTTTGTATTTAATCGATAACACCGAAGTTACGCATGTTAATGTTAGGAAAAATATTTTGATGTTAAGCAAAACCTGCTCCATCTCGTTTTACATAAATGTTGAAAATTTGGTCGAAATTGATGCATTGTAACGAAAGTTTTTAGCGAACAACACTTATGAAATTTCCATTTTATTAATTAAATATATATTCAAAGATATAAAATGATTTTAAAACATCATTATCACATTATATAATACAATGTTTACTTGAAAAAATGGCTCTAACACCTTGTTGCTTCAAAGCATTCTTCAAGCATTGCACCATTCAAATAAAGTTAGTGTTTTTCTTCCATTTCATTTTCCCACATATTCTTCTAGGTCTAGATTTCGTTTTTTAACCTGTCATGCAAACCATTGCTGACTTTAAAATCACCATAGTTAATGGCATAAAAATAGTTTTTGTTTCATCACGGGACCATTTATTTGGAATTTTTTTAGCCCTAAAACGTACGATCGCGATCGCGGCAAAAGTGTTGATTTCTCTTTGTAACAATTTTTAATAGCTATATATTTTATATTTTATAATAGAAAAGTTATATTCTCTTATTTTAATATGTTCTTAACATTTTGCCTGTGTTGTTTCACTTTGAAAAGTTCTGAAAATGGTCTTTTTTTTTTTTTTTAAGAAATAACGCTTTTGTTTTTAAAATGCCTTTGTTTTCTTCATTTTGGAAGCCATTTGTATTTTTATATTTCAAATTTAATGGATGCAAATATATTCTATTTAATAAAAAGTATAATGTGTTAAAATTTATACAACATACAGCAAAAATAAAGTGCAAAATTCAAACAAACAATGCCGTTAAATGTAGTTTTGAAATCGCGATCCGCGAGCTGAAACATGCTCAAAATTTGGTTGTTTTAATTTTTTTTTAAATTACAATTCTAAGTTCGTTATAAGCATTGTATTTTAAATATATTTTATTATTTTGGGACTGAAAATAGGTTCGTTATAGGGGTAGTTCGTTATTCTAAAAATCGCAAAGTTCGTTATAATGATGGTATTTTCAATGGAATGGAATTGGGAATCTGCGTGGGTTCGTTATAAGGGAAGGTTCGTTATATCCAGGGTTCGTATTAGCGGGGTTTTACTGTATATTAGATTTAAAAAAAAAAGATGTTAGAAGTATTTTATCATCTTACAATAAAATAGTAACACACATTGTGTTTAAAAATAAAAAAGGCATATCCTGACCAGGAGCACATGTGCTTTTCAGATGGCAGAGCGCCATCTAGTGGAACAGAAATCAACTAAACATTGATTTAACCTGTTCCCTGATATTTGGCCAACCCAATTTCTTGATAAATCAAGAAAAGCCATCTACAAACGCGTTTTGCGCTGTTGGCGCTTGTCAGCGTGGAGTAGGCTGTACCACTGCGACCAAAAATAACACATTGTGTTTACTATACAGTGTAAAGTTTTTTTATTAGGGTGATGAATATTTGTTCTAATACATAATATAAAATACCTTCACATTTGAGGCAAATAAATAGAACAATTATTAATAAAAGACAATTCGCTGAGGGAAAAGTTCTTTTTATGTATATCGGCAATACATAAAAATACATAAAAATAAACTTTTCCCTCAGCGAATTGTCTTTTATTAATAATTATACCGAAGGGATTATATTAGCAACAAATAGAACAATGTTCAGCAACACAATTTGACTAAAATTTATGGCCATAAAAAGGCTATTTCTGGCAGAAATGTTTCTACCTAAAGGGGTTAAGCATACACACAAGGTAATAAGACCAAATCCAAATAAATAATGTGTGACGTTTCGGTAACAGCATTGTTACCATCTTCAGACAAAAGTATTGAATCGACCACTAATACCCGGGATCAAATCCCGCATTGGATTCAGTACTTTTGTCTGAAGATGCCAATGCTGTTACCGAAATGTCACACATTATTTATTTATTTGGATTTGGTCTTATTACCTTGTGATTATTAGTGTCGGTGGAAGGATGATCTAAACCGTTGGTTTTCGACCGCTACGACCCGGGTTCGATTCCCGCATTGGGCACTTTTTTCTGATTAAAAAAAAAAATGCTCCAATGGCCCCTGAGTCTTGTAAAAGTCCAACCCCACCAGCGAGTTAAGTAACCAAACGGGGGCCCTGGCACATTTGTAAGTGCAAAGTCAAATTGCTTTACACATGTGTAGATATGTGGTACACTTACAGTAAAATCAGTCGGCCTACTTCTACCCACCATGATTATCATGGCCTGTACCATGTGTACTAGGGATAAGCAAAAAAAAAACTTTGTGATTATAATCTATAATCCAAATTGTGCATTGTCAAGGTTAAGCATACCTTCTGTAGGTAGAGAGAGATTTAACAATATTTTATTGACCTCATACACAAGTCAATGGTAGTACACCTATCCCCCGATTTACACGGTACTTTTTTTTACTTGTTTTCGCTTTTACACAGTTTTCCAAATAAGTTTTTTTTTTGTTTTTATCGCACTATACTAAATGCTACTGTGATTGAACACATGCGCTGTGTACACATCTCACGAGGAATCTCCCGAGCTTATGTGCTGACTACATATTTTAACCTGTCAATGCATTTTATTTTTATTTCTGTGTACACCTATCCCCCGATTTACACGTTTTTCTCAGGAACGTATCTACCGTGTAAATCGGGGGATAGGTGTATTATATAATAATCATAAAAAGAGGGATAAAATAAAATATATACAGTTATGTAGAGTTACGTTTTGTACAGTTATGTACTCTCTCAGGTAGCGAGAGAGTACAGTAGCAGATTTCCTTTAGAATTGTCCTCTCTGATAACCTCTGTGTTCTTGTGTGACAGGCCTCTTCTCTTCCAGATCACCACGTTCTTTGAGGATCTCACCAAAGGTTGGTTTTCTATTGGTGTTATGGTTGCTTGAACGCCAGCCTGCGCTGTGTGTTGTCCAGAAACCATCAGCATGGAGCAGTCCCTCCTGAACAACTTCCACTTCCGCCAGTTCTCCGATGTCAAAGTCAGCCAGGTCAACCCCAAGGTCAGAGCCCAATTCTATATACAGTTACGAGCGTCATTTTTTTGGAATGGTGCTCTCCTATTGGTTGGCTACGATCACGTGGCTACGATGGCGCCGCCACTACGCGAGACACTTTGTTTTTGACTTTGCCCCCCCCCCCCCCACTCGCTTTTTGGTTTTTGTAACTATTGTGTTGGAGCGGGTCGCTCCTTAAATAAATGCATATATTAGTTAATAACTAAATGGAATCCTCTCTTTCTTTTTCCCAGTAAGAGACGCCTACGGAAGCCAACAGTACATAGACAGATAAAGCACATAGGCTATAGTTATTAACTATTATATGCATTTATTTAAGGCGTCAATTTATAATTGTAACAAATAGTATTTGAATCAAAACATTCAATCGGGTAAAACACAGGCATTGCCCGGGTCATTCGGCTAGTATCTAAATACTGTTAAACCTGTTGCCCTCTTGGGACTCACCAAAATAGAGTGCTATAGAGAGGGGGTGCTATAGACAGATCACTTTTTATGTAAATCTCACATCGTACTACATATTTAAAATCTGGTGCTATAGAGAGGGAGGCGCTATTTAAAGCGGGTGCTATAGACAGGTTTAACTGTATATTGAAAAAAATATATATTTTCTTGCCCTCCCTCACATTCAGATGGAAAGTTATTGTTTTCCTCATTTGGTGTTTTTCTACGAATTTAAATACAGTAGTACCTCCCTGTAAAGGACACCTAATTGTAAAGCCAAATTATCCTTTTAAGACAGGTATCCTCTTCTTCTTCTTTCTTATCTTCACTCAATCACACTAAGGTATCAAGCTTTACAAGCTTGTTGATGGTGTCTGCCGGGGAAAGGTAGAGCTCATCAATGGATGAGTCAATACAGTGAATAATGTGTCTTGGGGTTGCAGGTTGACACTTAGTACATAGAGGGAAAATCTTGTAACCATTTACAGGTGTCCTCTTATAGGAGATTTGCTAAATAGTAAAAATGGTAATTTTGCAAATGAAAACTGTTCTTTGTAGATAGGTATCCTCTAGCGAGAGTGTCATCTTTCAAAGAGGTTCTACTGTACTTTAAATTCCTACTCAACTTGAAAGACTGAACCTACTTCAGACATATAATAAGAAAAAATGGATTAGATAAGATCTACAAGGTAATAAAACCAAATTTAAATTGATA